CTTAAATAATAGCAAGTAAGAACTCAGCATAGAAATAGAAATAATGAAATGTGAATCTCCGGTTATCTCAGTGGTCTAAAAGTGTCTATAAAAGTAGAAGCAGAGCCCTGGCTGGTGGAGAGGCTGGTTCACGGTCGCTCCTTTTCCTCTCTCGTGGTGGAAGCCCTTCCAGGGAGCCTTGCTTGACACACAAACACTTCAGAGCAGACAGGGCATCTCTCGCTGAACCCGGGCCTTGGAGACAGGCTGAGCCTCTGGAAGGGGCTGCCGCCTTCCTAACAGGTTTTGATTTCTTGGGGCAGTGTAGGCGGCCAGCTTCTCACTCCCCCTTCCAGGGCCCACAGAGCAGCAGGCCTTTGCCTCCTTCAGAGTCACCTGGTGGCGCGGACCCCTCAGCGCTGCTCCCCAAGGGGCGGAGCCGGCAGCCACGAGACACACGCGTGGCCCAATTTGCATAGCCCCAGCCAGCTTACTTCCGATTCCAGGGGAGACTCGATTGTGTTGCTTGTTGCTCTAGAGAGCAGTAAAGTTCCTGTTCCAGGAAGATTAAAAACAGCAGGGTAGCTGATTAAAAATGAAAACAAGAGGTAAAAACTGACTAATCTGCGAATCCACAGTAGTAGGAGGTTGAACGCAGTCAAGTAAAACCTCAGGACACAGGCATCTCCGGCGTGGGGGCGGCCTCGCCCTGCCCTGGGCTCCAGCGCCGCCGGCCACTGGACCAGGAGGTGCCTGTGCCGGGTCCACACAGTGGGCGCCGGCGGCAGCCTCACCTGAGTGCTGGAGTTTCCCACAGTGGGTCCCACCCCAGATGGGTGACTGGACTGGTCTGGGGGTGGTCTGGGTCCAGGTGCAGAGGGCGGCGCCACCGAGGGCTTAAAGCTGCGGGTTCACAAAGGGCTCCGTCCACGCAAGTAGAGCTGTTAACAAAACCAAACCGAGCCAGACACCTGTGCCCTGGGGTCAGGCGAATGCAGAGGGAGACGGGCACTCACCCGTACAGTGTGGCCTGTCCTCTCACTGGGGTGGCGGTGCCCTCGCGCCTTCACAGCGGCCATGCAGAGGTGGCCAGGAGCTCACATGAGCAGCTCGTTCCTGGGTGCTTACGTGTAGGTGGGGTTTTGATTTGCAGGTGAACAGAAAGCCTGAAATGTGGAAATCGTAACAACATTCATGAGCCAGAGCGAAACAGACTGCCCCTGCCCACCAGCTTCCTTCCCGACGGCTCGTGGGCGCAGCGGCAGCTCCACACGGACGTAGCCCTCTGCGGCAGAAAGTCCACCGACGGCCTCCGGACGCTTGACTCAGCGTCTGGACTGATGCCGGAGACGGGAAGCAGTCGCCTGCGGGCCCCGGGCCGCTGCCCTCGCGCTCCCCTCGCGCTCCCTGGAACAGCACGCTCGTGTTCAGCTAGTGTTTACCCAGGGTGCAGTTTCTTAAACCGCCAGCAAGACGACTTTGACCACAGCTGTGTCTGCCTGGCTGTGATGATGTCTCCTCTCCCCACAGCTTCTGAGCCCAATCTGAAGTTACGCTCCAGGCTGAAGCAGAAAGTGGCTGAAAGACGCAGCAGCCCCCTGCTACGCAGGAAAGATGGGCCGGTGGTTACCGCTCTGAAGAAGCGTCCGCTGGATGTCACTGGTACGTTAGCGTGAACCCCGCCGCCCTCCTCCCTGAGAGGCTCTCCCGCTCCTGCACAGGACGCCCACCCCAAGTGCCCTGTGCCCACAGCGCCAGCCCTGCGAGTCCCGAGAGCCACAGCTGGTGCCCCGGTGGGGGAGGGCTCGGGGCACATCCCTGTACGGCGGGTCCTGCTCCCAGCGTCCGTCTCAAAAAGCCGGTACCCCGGCCCTGGAGGTGAGAGCTGTCGCTCTGACGTGGCAGGGGTTAAGTGGAGGTTTCTCTGAAGGTGGGGTTTTTCGCTGATCCTGCCCCATCTGGTAAATCCCATGTTTCTAAGCTGCCCCCACTGCCCATCAAACAGTGTCAGAAGCACTGGAGAGCCAGAGAATCGTCCTGGGAAGCGTGGGACAGGTGGGCTGAGGAAGGAGGAGGCAGCTTGGCTGGGAGTTCCCCTCCTCTTGGGCCACGCGCTGCTCTTGGCCTCCACCTAGCTGCCGAGAAGGAGGCGGGCGCTCCTTCGCAGTGGGAGCCGGGAGCAGACTCCCTGGGCCCGGATCTCAGAGCCTGGCCTGCAGGGCCCTCAGGGTCGGGAGCTGGGGGTGGGTGCTGCCATCCCCCCCCCGCCGCCAGTGTCCAGCTGGCCCCGGCTCTCAGAGTCCAGCGGGCCCCACGGGCAGCCGTGGGCAGCACTCGGGTTGTGGGGGCGCCTGCTCGCCTGCTTCTGGGCTGGGCCTCTTGACCCGCGATGGCTCTGGGGGGTGGCCTGCTGAGGGAGGCGGCCCAGGCCTCCCCTCCACTCGCCGGCACAACCTCCCCCCGCCTGCTATGGCGCTTCCTCTTCCCGAGCCAGCGAGTCCAGACCGGGCAGAGTCTCGAGCCGTCGGTTATGTGGGTGGTGGGCGCTCGGGAGGGAGGGGCAGACGGCTCCGGTGGGATTTCTTTGAGAGGTTTTAACCAGGTGATGCTGTTGTCAGACACCCATAGCCCAACAGGAAAGCATGAGGGCGAAACAAGCCCTTCCAGAGCGTCGCGCATCCCAGGGCTTCCCATCACCCATTTGCACGAGCAGCAGTAGCGGCCGCCTTGCGAGGGGGATCCGGGTGGAACGGACTCCTCAGTCCTGGCTCCCGTGGGGCGGAGCCTGGTCCCCGAGAGTGGTGGGCCGCTTACACCTCCACAGCTCCCTGGAGGTTACCTTGGGGTGGCTTTTTCGGATCACTCTGATCAGTCATGGAAGCCACCAGCTCTGGTCTTCCCTGCACGTTTGAAAAATGAGAGGATTGGTTCCAAGTGAACGTTAACGTGGGGAGACTCTAAGTCGGCACAGATGGTAACTTTGACCTTCCCTGGCTCCCAGCCGTTGGCTTCTGTGTTTTCTTGCCTTTCGTTGTTAGAATATTAACAAGAGTTCAGGGCTTATGTTTCTGGTGTTGAAGATCATCTTGAGACTTCTCAAAAGAGGAATAAAATTGGCCGTGTGCCAGCCGAGCCGGCTCAGGTGGAGCCTCCGGGAACCACAGGTCTGCAGAGCTCATGACGCATCGATGGCCGAGCTGAGAGTAGGAATTGGCTCCAGGGCCCCTGTTTGGGGACCATGGTCCTGTCCTTCCTTGCGGGACTCCTGCCAGTCAGCCGGCCCCGAAGCACAGCTCCCCGGGGGGCCAGGGCAGCCTGGGCCCCCGTGAGCATGTCCAGTGGCCTTGCCCGGAACCCTCGCCGAGCCCGGCTCACGAGTGCTTCTCCCCCACAGACTCCGCGTGCAGCAGTGCCCCGGGCTCCGCCCCCAGCTCACCCAACAACAGCTCCGGGAACGTCAGCACGGAGAATGGGATCGCGCCCGCCGTCCCCAGCATCCCGACCGAGGTCAGTGCCCAGAGCTCCCATCCCTGTCCGGTGTTTTTTGGCCAGCCCAGAGGTGGAGCCAAAGAGCAGTTTCCATATGCCCTTGAATCCTGTCAGGGCGGCATTTCAGAAGTGTCTCGGGAACCGTGAGCTTCAGGCCACAGGGCCAGTGCCCCTTGCCTCTGCCTGCAGACCCCAGGTGCCCTGCAGGTGCAGGGGGATGTGGGTGCACAGAGCTTCAGGGAGAAGGGGTGGGGGCCGCTCTGGCCAGGAGGAGGGCCCCGGGCTGGCTGCAGGGCGTGCCCCTGACTGGACTTGGGTTGGGGCGGCATTCAGGGCAGCAAGTTCCAGAACCTTCGCTCCATATGTTCACCTCTCCTGATTTCGCTCCCTCTGCCCATCCCACGGGTGTCTTTGGGGCTCCTGCCTCCTGCCTGTCTGGGTCCGGCCCCCAGCCAAGGGCGCTGCCCCCCGTACTGCCCAGGATGGGCAGGTGCTGACCAGTACTGGGAAGGATGCAGGAATTTCATGCAGCCGAGCACATGGGGAAGCCGGCTCCACACCCAGTTCCCGGGAACCAAGCAGTGGTGCCTGCCGCCTCCTGCTGAGGACGGTCCTGCTGAACAGGGGTTTCTCCTGGTTTTTTTTTTTAAGCACCCTCTAACTTGCAGGAGGTTGTAATGTATTCAACGCGGTTATTTGCTTTCCTCTTACGCGTTCAGGCACGAACCCCGCCCTCCCAGAGGCTGACAGCTCTTGGCCGGCGTCCGCAGGCGCACGTGCATGCCAAGCATTTTCATTTGAAATTTCTAGACGCTTAATGTGTCAGCAGATTTTTGGAATCCAGACTTACTGCTGGAAATGATTTTGCACCCCTGCCTCTAGTTTGCTTAATCCATATTCTTTTTCTTTACGTCTCTTTCTTTTATGACCTGTCCACTTCAACCTACCTGTTTAAATACTTGTTTATAGATGGTTAAGTTTTAACAGTCCTTCTCTGTAAGACTGAGGTCATAGCTGAGGTCTACCTGGAATTAGCCTTAGAACCTGGCCTAAAAGCTGCTTCCTGGACCGAGACGTAAATGGTATCTGTGGCTTGTTGATAGTGGCCGCAGATCTTGAGTTTATTTAACTTTGGCAGTTACCTACCTAATGGTTCATGTTGTCAAGATGCCTTATTCAGGTGGATGCCGGTTTAAATTGTGTGTTAATTTTTACAAATCACATGGTAAAGTCAGTTCAGCTCCTGCAAGTTCATAGAAGATGGAAAAGGAGTCACAGGAATGTGAAGGGTGCAGTTTTCATGGGAGAGGCTCACTGTACTCACAGGGGGCTCTTTGAGAATTCGATCACGTCCTTTGTGGATTTCAAGTAGAAATCCTTAGAACAGGACAGTTCCCTGAGCGCTTCTGTGACGCCGAGGCCAAGGCCGAGGCTGGCCGCTCCACGTCCTCTGATCCAGAGGCAGCGTGGGGGCCTCACACAGGAGGGGGTCCTTGTGTGGGAGGGGACCACTGGCCTGGCTCTGCACCCCCTCCCGCTGGACAGAGAGAAGCTCAGCACCCCCCACCTCCCTCATGCGGAGGAAGCTGGGCTCCTCTAGCCCGGAGACAGTCTCCCGGAGGAGCCGCGCCGTCCGGTGCAGAAAGCCAAGTGTGGTCGGAGGCATGCCGCGGGCGCGCTGACCCGGCCCGGACTCTCCATGGAGCACTGGGCAGCTGAGCATTTTCATAATGGGGCAGGTGGAGACGGCCAACACCGGAAACATGGACAAGTCAACACACCAGGCGATTCCCAGAAGGCTGCTTTATTTCCAAAAATAAATTAGGTTTAAAAAAACAAGACAGGCTGGGTTGTAAAGAGGAAATGATAACTTTGCAAATGTCGGATGTTTGCTTATTTTGTTCCTGGACAGTTACAATACAGCGAAACCGTGCTTTCCTTGGCAGTGTCAGTCACTTTCTCTAAATCACAGCTTGCCGGTGCTTTTGTCTAGGAGAAGGCGACTTCTTAAGTAGCCCTCTAGGCGTTACAGTTCAGCGTGATGTGTGGCCAAACATCTGTCCGGGTGAGGGCGCACTCAGTTTCCTCCCCAGTGAAGAGAGCCGGTCTTTCTGTTTTCCCTGATGGCACGAGGACGGCGTTCATCAGGTGTGTGTTTCCAGATGACGCCGAGCATGACCGCATCAGAGCCACCTGGGGACCGTGCAGGGCTCGGAACGTCGACGCCCACGCCGGGAAGGTAGTCCCTCCGTCCTTCACCGGAGTGAGCGGCGGCGCCTCCTGGCTGGGGCTGCGGCCCGCACGCCGCTGTTTACAGTAACTCAGGATGACTTTCGACTCATATTTTTTTTACCTTGCAGATGAAGTTTTAAAGCACCCACAGCATTTCTCATCCTTAACTATTGAGTCCACTGTGAGAAGCAGGAGAAAACCAGTGTTGTCTCCGTACACCACCAGCGAGCGCTGGGACGGGCCACCTGCT